AAAATCTTTAAAAAAAAAAAAAAGAGTTAAAATACAGTAAGAGAATAAGTAATCAAAAGTTATACTTAATTATCTAAAATGTATATGAAATAGTTTTTAAAATGCTCTTAATACTTTCACGTTTCAAAAAATACAATGTTTTAAATATGAAAACTATAGACAATTTCTTTAGCGTGAATAAAAAGATTTCTTACAAAAGGATCTGCTGGTTTCTCCTTACAAAGTGCTGTGAGTCCTTCAAGCAGAGTTGGTGTTACATATAAATTTAAATAATCCTTAGCAGCTTGTCCAACTGGAATGGGTTCAATAATCACTGCAAAGACAAATGTATTCCAATTAAAACTACCACAAATGATGAAATATTATATAATCATTACAAAGAAAGAAATTTTAGTGGATAATACTTATAAAGGTTTTTTGTTTTGTTTTGTTTTTTACAAAAAGGAAACAGAACTAGATACATAGCATAGTTTGTTCAAAAACACACAAGCACACACAGAGAAATAATAAGACCACGTACGACTGGCAAAAAAATGTATCAAAACACTAAAATTGATCATGTATAAGATTCTGATGATGTTTTCTACTATATCCTTGTCTGCATTTCCACTTCCATATTTTTTACAGTAAATACTACCATGGACAATGTCATGAAAAAGAAAAATATGAAGAACATGTAAAATTTAGGAGATTAATTCATTTCAACAATTAATTCCTGCCAACAAAATAGCAGGCATTTTCCAAAGTGGTATAGATACAACAGTGAATAACATGTAGTTCTTGCTCTCTTATAAGCTAATGAATATACACATAAAACCTATTTCTGTGTGTATAGTATATATTACATTCCTGCTCTTATTTTTCAGGGTTTTTTTAATTATTATTTTTCAGGTTTTTAAATAAATTATGTAAGATCTAGGAAAATTTTAGTGTTTTTAGTCTTGTTTGAACACTGTGTAGGTCAACCAGACTTGCAGTACAACAAAGAATCTATTTATATGAGAAAGAATATATTTTATAAGTCTTAGTAAGTCTTTTGAGGTTGACCTCAATCAATGGGCAACTTTTGATAAAGATGAGAATGTGAAGCTACTGGTCTCATGTGTTCAGATTTTAATCGTCACTGACCCAAGGAAAAAGAAGGTGGGAAGACAGATTTCTGTATGACTAGTGTATGGGCTCAGTCTCAATGAGACAACTAACAATGAGAGTCCTTTGCCAGGATGCCAAGAAAAGCTAGGAAATGTCTCAAAGGACTTGAGTAAAAGGTTCCTTTCCTATTAGTCTCATTATAGCACTCTTTTTTGTACTGATCACTGTAATAATTTTTATTTTGGTTACACAAATATTTGTCATCAGTCTCTTCTTCTCTTTCAGTTCCATGAAAGTTAGGACCACATTTATCATGTTCACTGTACCCTGTACCCAGGCCCTTTGTATATTTAAAAATGAAAATTGAGGGGCACCTGGGTGGCTCAGTCAGTTAAGTGTCTGCCTTTAGCCCAGGTCATGATCCCAGGGTCCTGGGATCGAGCCCCATGTTGGGCTCCCCACTCAGCAGGGAGTTTGCTTCTCTCTCCCTCTGCCCCTCCCCTCGCTTGTGCTCTCTCCCTCTCTCAAATACAATCCTTAAAAAATAAAAATGAAAATGAAAATTGATTATTGCCATTCCCATCCTTAAAAAGCTTCATTGGTTCCTCATTGCATTTACAGTCAAGATAGAACTCCATACCACAGCCCACAGAACTCTATACCATGTAATCTCTACTTACTCTCCAACCTCATATTTATCTTCCTCTGATCTTTGTCTATACTATGTGTCATGTTCTTTCTTGCTCATGACTTGAGAGAGACATGCTGTTCCATCTGCTAGAATGTTCTTCCCTGGATCTCATGTCACTTCCTCAGTTGGGCCTTTCTTATCATAGAGTCTCATAATACCCTATAATTGCTTTGTATAGCACTTACCACACAGTAACTACACAGTCATAACTGTACAATTATTTGGGTAATTATTGTTTAATGGCTATCTTCTGAACATTAGATGTAAACTCCAAGGGAGCAGGGACCTCATCTATTTTTTGTAATTTTACTAAAAAAATTGATTGAGGTATATTCACATATAATAAAATTCACTCACTAAAGTATACAATAAATTTTTAGTAAACTTATAGTTGTGCAATCAGTACCACAATCCAGTTTTAGAACACTTCACTACCCCAAAAATGTTCCTTGTGCCTATTTGCAATTTCCCACTACCACTCCCACCCCTAGCCTTTGGCAAGCACTGAGCTTCTATTTAAAAATTTGCCTTTCCTCAAACCATGAGAGACTATGGACTCTGAGAAACAAACTGAGGGTTCTAGAGGGGAGGGGGGTGGAGGGATGGGTTAGCCTGGTGGTGGGTATTAAAGAGGGCACGTACTGCATGGAGCACTGGGTGTTATATGCAAACAATGAATCATGGAACACTACATCAAAAACTAATGATGTAATGTATGGTGATTAACATAACACGATAAAAAAAATTTGCCTTTCCTGGATATTTCATATAAACAGATCATGTATGTTGTCTTTTGTGCCTGGATTCTTTCAGCATTATGTTTTGAGTTTCATCCAATGCGTAGCATGTATCAGTAGTTTGTTCCTTTGAATTGCTGAATAGTATTCTATTATATGGCTATACAACATTTTGTTTAACCATTAATACATAGTTGGATTGTTTCTAGTTTTTGGCTGTGCTAAATAGTACTGCTATAAACATTCACATATGTCTTTATGTAGATTTATGTTTTCATTTCTCTTAGATGGGTATATTCTAAGAGGAGCGGAATTGCAACAGAGTTACATGGTAAGCATACGTTCAACGTTTTAAGAAACCACCAAACTGTTTTCTAAAGTGGCTTTATCATTTTACAATAATGTATGAGGATCCCAGTATCTCTTTATCCTTGCCATTATTATCCATTGTAGTGGGTGTGCGGTGGTATCTCATTGTGGTTTTTTTGTTTTGTTTTATTTTAACTAATTGTGATTTTAATTTGCATTTCCCCAGTGATTATGTTTTAACACCTTTTCATGTGCTTATTAGCCATTCATGTATCTTTTGTGAAATGCTTATTCAAAAATTTTGCCTGGTTTTTGTTTGCCTTCTTTTTACTGAATTAGTTATAAGAGTTCTTCATAAATCCTAGATAAAAGTCCTTTATTTCATATGATTTTCAAATATTTCCTACCAGTCTGTGGTTAATCTTTTCAATACTTTTAATGATGGCTTCTGAAACATAAAACATACAAACTTTTAATTTTGATTTATCAATATTTTCTTTTTTTTTTTTTTTAAAGATTTTATTTATTTATTTGACAGAGAGAGACACAGCGAGAGAGGGAACACAAGCAGGGGGAGTGGTAGAGGGAGAAGCAGGCTTCCCGCAGAGCAGGGAGCCCCATGCGGGGCTTGATCCCAGGACCCTGAGATCATGACCTGAGCCGAAGGCAGCCGCTTAACGACTGAGCCACCCAGGCGCCCCTAACAATATTTTCTTTTATGGATCATGCTTTTGCTATCATTTGCAAAAACCCTTTGTCCAACTCAAGGTTATGAAGATTTCCCATGTTTTCTTCTAGATACTTTTAGCTCTTATGTTTAGGTCTATGATCCTTTGTTGTTACATTTTGTATGGGGTATGAAACAAGATCTGAGTTCTTTCTCTTTTTTTGCATGTGAGTATTCAGTTGTCCTAGCACCATTTGTTGAAAAGATCACCTTTTCCCCATCAAACTGTCTAGGCACTTTTGTTGAAAGTCAACTGACCAAAATGTAAGGATTTATTCCTAGATTCTCAATTCTCTTTCATTGATCTATATGTCTAGAATAATACTGTCTTAATTATTGAGGTCTCATAGTAAGTTCTGAAATAAGATTAGTGGAAGTTCAACTTATTTCTTCTTTTTAAAAATTGTTTTAGCTTGCCTAGATCTTTTGCAATTCCAGATAAATTTTAGAATCAGCTTGCCAACTTCTACATAAAAGAATGTATGGATTTTGATAGGAAGTGCATTAAATTAATTGATCAATTTGGAAAGAACTGCCATCCTGACAATATTGACTCTTCTAATCCATCAACATGGGACGTCTATCTATTTTAGATAGTCTTTCACTTCTCTCAATAATGTTTTATGCCTTTCATTATATAAGAATTGTACTTCTTTTGTTAAATTTATTCCTAAGTATTTTATTATTTACCTATGTAATTCTAATATAAGTAACATACAGTGTGTTATTATTAGTTTCAGGTATACACCATAGTGATTCAATAATTCTTTTTTTTTTTTAAGATTTTATTTATTTATTTGACCAGAGAGAGAGAGCAAGCACACACAAGCAGGGGGAGTGGTAGGCAGAGGGAGACGCAGGCTCCCCGCAGAGCGGAGAGCCCGATGTGGGGCTTGATCCCAGGACCCTGGGATCATGACCTGAGCCGAAGGCAGATGCTTAAGCGACTGAGCCACCCAGGCGCCCCGTGATTCAACAATTCTATACATTGCTCAGTGTTCATCAAAATAAGTGTACCCTTAATCCCCTTCACCTATTTCACTCATCCCCATCCAGCCACCCTCTGGTAACCATCAGTTTGTTCTCTATTTTTAAGAATCTGGTTTTTGTCTCTTTTTTCTTTATTTTGTTTCGTAAATCCCACCTATGAGTGAAATAGTATTTTATTATTTTTGATGCTATTGTGAATGAAATTATTCCCTTAACTTCATTTTTGGATTATTTCTACCTCATCTTCTTCTTTAAAAAAAAAAAAAAAGATTATTTGAGGGGTGCCTGAGTGGCTCAGTTGGTTAAGCATCTGGCTTCAGCTCAGGTCATGATCCCAGGGTCCTAGGATCAAGCCCCGTGTCAGGGTCCCTGCTCAGTGGGGAGCCTGCTTCTCCTTCTCCTCCCCGCTCATGCTCTCTATGGCTATCTCTGTCTCTCTCTCTCTCAGATAAATAAAATCTTAAAAAAAGAAAAAAAAATGATTTGATATTTGAGAGAGAGAGAGAGTGCATGCCCGAGCAAGCACAGGGAGGGTCAGAGGGAGAGAGAGAATCCTGAAGCAGATTCCCTGCTGAGAGCCCAACATAGGGCCCAATCCCACAACCCTGAGATCATGACCTGAGCCAAAATCAAGAGTTGGATGCTTAACCAAATGAGCCACCCAGCTGCCCATCTACCTCATCTATTTTTGCCGATCGTTTGTTATTTGTCTCTAGCAACTAGGGCTGGATGAATTAATGTGAAAATAAGCTTTTCATGTTTCTTACACAGATGAACTTTCATGGCACTTTAATGACATTTGTAGTTTATATATTGCATTGTATACTTATTTTTATACATTTTTAAAATACGATCAGCTTGAGAGCAGGGACATATTGTTATTCATCTTTGTATTTCTGGCACATAGTAGTTAATTCAATAAATTTGTTGAAGGAATGGAATATAGCAAAGCTTTGAATTAGCCATCTCTATTGAAAGGGAGGGGTAAGGACACTACATTTTTTTCAAGGGTTAGGAACATGTCTGAATATCTTTATGACTTGCTTGAGTGAATCATCATATAGGGTTTTGCAAATAGTTCTTGACTGACTGCTAAGAAAGAGAGAGCTCATACCCCAAACTCTGAGAATTTACTCCAAAGAACTTCACATTCTCACAGCAAAAGATCTGTAGTGTGGTAGGTAATTAATCATTTATATTTATCCTACAACTGCTGCTTCTCAAATGTCTAATTATATCTCTTAAACTCATGTCTAGAGGACAAATTAGTGGGTAAAATCAAAAGCAATCTAAAATAACAGTTTAGGTATATAACCCTATGAGTAAGAAGAGCTTCTAAAAAAAGGACTAGAGGGCGCCTGGGTGGCTCAGTCGTTAAGCATCTGCCTTCGGCTCAGGTCATGATCCCAGGGTCCTGGGATCGAGTCCCACTTCGGGCTTCCCGCTCTGCGGGAAGCCTGCTTCTCCCTCTCCCACTCCCCCTGCTTGTGTTCCTGCTCTCGCTATGTCTCTCTCTGTTAAATAAATAAAATCTTTAAAAAAAAAAAAGGACTAGAGAAAACCGAACAATAATAGCAGTTAATATTTGAGCACATATGCACCAAACACTAAGAATTTTACATGCATTTATATATTCAACCCTAACAATATCCCTAACTAGGTAGGCAATACTAATAATATTTGCATTTTACTGATAAGAAGAGAAAAAAACAGAGAGAGGTGAGATGTCTGGAATCAGAGGAAAATCTAATTCACTGGGGCACCTGGGTGGCTCAGTCGTTAAGTGTCTGCCTTCAGCTCGGGCATGATCCCAGAGTCTTGGTTCGGGCCCCGCATCGGGCTCCCTACTCGGCGGGAGGCCTGCTTCTCCCTCTCCCACTCCCCCTGCTTGTGTTCCCTCTCTCACTGTGTCTCTCTCTGTCAAATAAATAAAATCTTTAAAAAAAAAAATCTAATTCACTAAGAGGACTAAATCTAAGTACTATCACATTAAAAAGACTTCATGTTTGAGATGTACTTCAAAATAATGTGGAAGCATTAGAAATAGAAGCAGAGGTTATAGATGATATAATTAGACGGATCACAATTATTTAAGTCGGGTGATAGTTTCATTAGGGGTTTATTTTTATTATTCTACTTTTGATTATGTTTGAAATTTCCACAATAAACAATTCCAAAGAAAAAGATACCCTAATGGAAGGGATATGTGATAGAAATTAGATCAGTAAGAATAAAATATGTAAGTAGGCAAATCCTTTTGTGTACAAATAGCTATAAAATAGTTTTGTGGGGCATCTGGCTGGCTCAGTGAGTGGAGCATGCAACTCTTGATCTCAGGGTCATGAGTTCAAGCCCCACGTTAGGTGCAGAGATTACTTAAAAATTTAAAAATGAGGGGTGCCTGGGTGGCTCAGTCATTAAGCGTCTGCCTTTGGCTCAGGTCATGATCTCTGAGTCCTGGATTGAGCCCCGCATCGGGCTCCCTGCTCCACGGGAAGCCTGCTTCTCCCTCTCCCACTCCCCCTGCTTGTGTTCCCTCTCTCGCTGTGTCTCTCTCTGTCAAATAAATATAATCTTTAAAAAAAAAAGAAAGAAAACAAACTAAAAACCTCAATGTTATTCCTTACTATGCCCACTTCTAGAAGGTTTACAATTTCCATAACAGGATGGAAACAAAAAACGGGCCTGAGACTTACTAATTTCACAACCGCATAAACATTCATTAGACAAACAGTAAAGAGTTAGAGAAAATGGGAAATCTATCATAATTTCCAAGGGAGATTCTTTTTTTCATGTGTAACAAACTTTACTGATGCATTACGGAGAACTTAAGGAATTGCAACAAAGGAGAAGAGAAACCCTAAGTATGGCTAGTCTAAGAGAAAAGAAAGAAAAAAGTAAACTCTTCTCAAAAGATTCCCTATAGGACACAATTTAGTTTCTGAGGGAAATACTGAATTTTCCATTCTTGGCCTCAAGTTTGTAAGTAACTGTAACTTCAAAATATGACAAAATATATTGGAGAAAAACCCTGTTATCTTCGTTCCCAGGTACATCACCCAAATAAAAGAGAAAGCAAACAATAGGGAGATGCACTTGACTAAATTACTCACTGGTAACTCACCTTCAGGAAACATGAATCGAATTTCTCTTTCTGCTGCAGCAAAATCATTGCTCCCATGAAGTGCATTCCTCAGGTCATCTGTGCCATAAATTGCCCTTAAACTAAAAGTAAGTTAGAGATGATGACCATCCAATGTGATAGCCTTTCCTTACTCTTTACATATGCGTTCTACTTAGGAATTTTACAGAAGCATTGCCACTTCTCACATATGGAAGTTTTAATCTATTTTGAATTTAAGCTTAAATCTACCTAGATGAGGGTCAAATATATTTAAATCTGCAGGAGGGATACACTGGGAAATAGGAGTTCTCTGGGTGAAGAGGAGGTGTTGTTTTGTGAGAAGTGAAAAGGCAACATATATTAAAAAATGCAAGAATTCAATGTCCTCGTGTTTCCAAACTTTAATGATAATGCTAAAAATCTGTTTTTCTGGCCTTCTATTACCAATATTATTTTTAAAAGCCATGACAATTTTCCTATGAAAAATCCTACTTCGGGGGCAGTTTAATTCAAGGATGAGAGAACAATTAGGCTAATCAGAAGAATTAGGCTAAATCAGAAATTCCCTGAGGCCTTTTGGGGTATATGGTATTAAGATGGACATTTTAATAGCTAAAATGTAAAACTGACCCCACCCCCATCCCAACCAAAAAACAAAAAGTTGACTTAGAAAAACTTTCAAATGAAAAGAAACTCCTATTACAATGAAATCAGTTTTGGGTTTGGTTTTGTTTTGTTTCATTCTTATACTTGGATTCCATTTTTCCCCCTAGGAAAGTTACCTGTCTGGGTGAGTCTCTTTAGCTACTAAGGTATTACTTGGTCCCAAAAGTTCTTTCCAGTAAGAGATGGCTTTATGTCTAGCTAATATCATGGCAACAAGTGGTCCAGAACTCATGTAAGCTGTTAAATTGGGGAAAAACATTTTCCCATACTGTTCCACATAAAAGTTACTACAGTGCTCAGGGCTGAGATGGAGTTTTCTTCTCTATAAGAGAAACAAAGTCAACAAAAGTATTTAAAATGACAGTTCAATAATAACTCATTAAGTCATTAATAACTTGAAATTCATACAAATCTGATTATAAATGTAAGATTTTTATATTATGAAGAAAGGGAGAGATAAAATTAAATGTAGGCTATAAATAAACTTCTCCAAGTTATTTAACCAACTCTCGTGCGCTGTTGATGTGAAGGTAAACCCATGCAGCCACTGTGGAAACCAGTATGGAGGTTCATCAAAAAGTTAAAAATAGAAATACTATATGATCCAGTAATTCCACTACTAGATATTTACCCAAAGAAAACAAAACCACTAATTCAAAAAAAATACATGAACCCCTACATTTATTGCATCATTATTAACAATAGCTGAGACATGGAAGCAACACAAAGATCAATCTACAAATAAGTGGATAAAGATGTGGTCTATAAATACAATGGACTATTACCCAGACATAGCATAGAAAGGAATGAGATCTTGCCATTTGTGACACTATGGACGGACCCAGAGGGTATTATGCTAAATGAAATAAGTCAGACAGAGAAAGACAATTACCATTTCATTTATATGTGGAATCTAACAAGAGAATGAACAAACAAAAAACAGACTCTTAAATACAGAGAACAAACCTGTAGTTGCCAGAGGGGATGTTAGTAGGAACTTATAGTTACAAAATAAGTAAGTCACAGAGATGAAAAGTACAGCATAAAGAGTTAATAATATTGTCATAACGTCATACGGTGACAGATGGTGACCACACTTACTGTGGTAAGCACTGACTGAAGTATAGAATTGTAAAATCAGTATGTTGTACACCTGAAGCTAATATACATTGCATATTAATTATACTTAAGTTAAAAACAGTTACTTAACCCACTTAAGAAAAACTATTCTTATCTGGCAGCCTACTTCTATACATGGTTTGTTAATGACAAACTGAGCTTATCTCCTTCTTTAAGTAAAAAGACTACTATCATCAACATTTTTATACTTTGTATACATTAAAGTAACAAAATTGGACTTCAGAATATTCCAAATTCATCTTTATCTATTTGTGATATTTTCCTATTAATTGTGAAACTTTCCTATATTTTTTTTAGGGAGCTGGTCTCATTGTGGTACTTAGAAATAATATACAGTATAATGATGCACTAAACAAGTTTTTCTGTTGAATGTAGAAGTTGTGTAATCTTTATTCTGGTTCTGCCATAAATATGTAGGTTCACTATGATCTTAAAATACTTGGTACTAAGTTTCTCAGTTTGAAAGAACATAAAATATTGAGGGCAAAGAAACATTATTTTCTTCACAAATGAGATTATATGAATGAATCAGTAAAAAATCACAGAAGTGAAATCAGCCATTCTTCCGATTAGAGATCATCCTTCTCTAAAAGCAGCTATTTGAACACTTTTTTTAAAAAAGATTTTATTTATTTATTTGACAGAGACACAGCGAGAGAGGGAACACAAGCAGAGGGAGTGGGAGAGGGGGAAGCAGACTTCCCACTGAGCAGAGGGCCCGATGCGGGGCTCGATGCGGGGCTCGATGCGGGGCTCGAAGCGGGGCTCGATCCCAGGACTCGGATCATGACCTGAGCCGAAGGCAGACGCTTAACGACTGAGCCACCCAGGCGCCCCTATTTGAACACTTCTAAAAAATCATCTATTACTACTGTTTGTTAGTTCCACTAAAGGTGGATCATGAAGGAAAAGACTCAAGAAATAACAGAGATTCAAATTAGTCACCAAGAAAAACTTCTGGCTAGAATAAGGATGATGAGAATGGAGATAAGTTGTAAGGTCAAGGCTAAAAATCTCCATGATTAAGGCAGAAAGCTATCTTTCTAAAGTGGGTTAGATTTTCCTGACAGTACAGCATGAAATTTACCAAGTGACCTCTTAAGGCTCCTTCCAAAACAATCATGTGTCCTCAGGTTTCGGATATTTGGCAAAATTGCTCGGTTTGTAGTGAGAAATCAAAACTGCCCAAAGCAAGAAATGGGAAGATGCTTACCTAGGTGGGTCAGCACTGCTGTAAACAGACTCTGCTGACAAATATAACATTCTCACCAGTCAAGGACCAGCTACTACAAAATAGGTGCTTGCATCTGTTCACATACTGAAATTCATATAGTCAAGAAAAAGAAATTTGAGAAGTTACAAAACCACCTGATTTAGTATAATCCTTGATTCTATTACTTAAAAATAAGATGTGTCAGTATTTGTGATTCTTGGGCATACTGGTATGGGTTTTTTTGTTGCTGCATTTCATCTGTTATAATGTAAGCCCTTATCACATGCCCCTTAACAAGCAAGGGACACCACCTTCTGCAGGTGTGCTGCCTAATGCAGCATAATTATAAACATTAAGAGCTCCTCTTAAACTAAAATTGATGAGGGGCACCTGGGTGGGTCAGTTGGTTAAGTGTTTGACTTCGGCTCTGGTCATGATCTCAGAAGCCCCCATCTGGCTCCAGAGGTTTGCTCTCAGCAGGGAGTCTGGCCCTCCCCCGCTCATTCCGTCTGTCTCCCTCTCTCTCAAATAAATAAATAAAATCTTTTAAAAAATTGATAATGAATCAGTAATTCCATTGGTTATTTTAAAATTAGGTCGGGGCACGTGGCTGGTTAGGTCAGTGGAAGATGCGAATCTTGGTCTTGGGGTTGTGAGTTTGAGCCCCACGCTGGGTGTGAAAATTGATTAAAAATAAAATCTTTTTTTTAAAGATTTTTATTTATTTGTCAGAGAGAGAGAGAAAGAGAGAGAGAGATTGCGCACAAGCAGGGGGAGCGGCAGGCAGAGGGAGAAGTAGGCTCCCCGCTGAACAAGGAGCCCAATGTGGGACTCGATCCCAGGACCCTGGGATCATGAGCTGAACTGAAGGCAGACAACCGACTGGGCCACCCAGGTGTTCCTAAAAATAAAATCTTTAAAAAAATTAGATCAGGTAAAATTTTTTGGGATTCATGTGAATATTTTCACAAAGAGAAGTAGTATTACATAATATCAGAAAAGGAACCATTAGTTTGTAACAAAGGAAAGACTGCCACCTATTGAAAGAATGCATCATCTTTCAGAAGGTTTTCCCTAGATGGCAACAAGAAAGCCTTAATTAAGTTCAGGGGCGCCGGGGTGGCTCAGTCATTAAGCGTCTGCCTTCGGCTCAGGCCATGGTCCCAGGGTCCTGGGATCGAGCCCCACATCGGGCTCCCTGCTCC